ATGCTGCCAGGAAGGTGAGAAAGGGGATTTATCCCCGATATTTGGCACTTGAAAGACCGCAGTTTGGGGCTCCCAGTACAGACAGTGACGAATGGCAGTGCATCCAGTGGAGGCCACCAAGATGGCTGGGGCTGGAGCACAGGACATCTGAGCAGAGGCCATGGGTGGATTTGCTCAGCCACGAGAAGGCCAAGGGGATCTCATTGTCCTCTGTGACTTCTTAATGGGATGGTGCAGAGAAGATGGAACCAGACCTCCGAGAGATAAGTTGGAAGGGCAAAGAGGACCTCTGGGGCAGGAGGAAGGACAGAGCTCTCCAGGGATCCCTTCCCACCCCCATAACTGTGATTCTCTCCTATGATTTTATGAGCATGGAAAGAGCTTTTTGCAGTTTTGAGGAACATGGTGAGGCAGAAAACATCCTCTCCCATGCTGGGCTCATGCAGCACAGGATGCAAAGGCAGAACAACTTAGAGGGCACTTCAGCACACATCCCTGGCACTCCCCAGGACTATTCAAGGTCTTCAAGTGGGCACCTGCTTATGGATCTCAACAAATGACAGCCTACGTGACGGCCACAGGAACGCAAGGTAACACCAAACATCAGAAGAACTCACTATTAATTGCCTGGTAGCGTTACAAGTTACTTAAGGATATCAGAATTTGCTTAGCACACGTTTCCCATGAGCTTCCAGCTGAAGAGGTAATGACCCAGCAGCTATAGAGATGTACGGGATCAGGAGGAAGAGGGTAAGTGTTGAGATCCGGGTGAATGCAACGCCACGGAGGGCACGTTTCATCTCTCCGAACAGATAATTAGATGGAACAGCCCGGTCAACTTAAGTTTGCAGAGGACACAGTGCTCTGCATGGGGGCAAACAAAGCCATTCGCCTTAGGTTCTCTGGGTAGTTGTATGCACTGCCTCCTTAGAGACTAAGGATAAACATTTATATCTAAAATTATTTTAATATGTGTGTAATATATAAATATTACATAATATTTATCTACTTCCACAGTCTTGGTCCTCCTGGTGCAAGAACCACAGGTCTAAGGGTCACAGAAACATTACCCATGATAAATACTCGCTCAAGAAAACTATTTTAGGGCAGAAGGCATGTTTTTACCTCTGTAATTATTGGTTGTCTGCAGCTCTCAAGTTAAAACACCATGAGGAAAAGACAACTGCATACAGCCAAAATGCTGAATGCCAAACCCCCATTTCAGCATCAGAAATGCCACCACCTCTTGCATCACAAATGGCTCGGGGGGGACACCAAGTCCCACCACAAACTGGTTCGTGGTACTTGAGGTGCTTCCAAGGCTAACACAAGGCAAGCCTTTTAAAAAGCTCTTTTAAAACACTCTTGAAAATACTCTTTAAAAGGCTCCTTTAAAATACTCTTCTTAAAAAAAGAGTATTTCTTTGCTCAAATTATGATGCTGGAAAAAGGTTCTCCCACAGTCAACACCCCATCTACTTGTGACACCTGGCCGGGTCACCAGCATGCTGACCTGCTCGGAAAGCATTTGGAAGTTGGACTCAATTAACTCCGATGGCACATTTCAAATTGGTTGATGTCAGTGGTAGGATATGATAAAATATAGCTAGAATCTGGCATTACGTCTGTATACAGACATCTGGAACCAACACACTTCGGGAATAAATTTTAGTCTGCTACAATTAAGAGGGACTTGTCTGCAAATGTGCACACTTAAGGACACAGTGATATGTGGCACATCTGCAGCATAAAAAAAGGGAGGCAAGGAGAAAGCTGGTAGGGCGCTGAACAGCGGCAACGTGATGGCATTCTCCCACACACAGTGCTTTCCAGTTGCCACGTGGCAGGTTCCCAGTTTGTGGCTTGGAGACTGAGAAGGAAAACCTGCTGGTTTGCTGGGTTAAATTGGGATGGGCTGCTGAGCTGGGGGGGAAAAACCCCAAATACCCCTCCAGAACAATACAGTTGATTTAAAAAGGGACTTTCTGAGTGGAATTTGGCACCCTTTGCTCGCAGAAAGGTGTTGCTATCTGCTTTCAAACCTTTTCCAAACAGAAACCGCAGCTTTTTGCTGAACTTAAAACCACCCCGTAGCAGAGGCTGGAGGAACAGCAGCGGCCAGAGCTTCGCTGAACAAACAGCCAGTTAAATAGCTGCGTCTCAAGCTGCTGACACCCTCCTGAGCATAAATCACGCGCAGCATCGGGAGGGGAAGCACGCCGTTCCTCCCCGCGAATACAGACCTGGCGATGTATCGGCTCGTAGCTGATCTGTTGAGGCAGCCGGATGGAGAGAAGCCAGGACTGGGGGTGCAATGCAACCTCGCTGTTGGAAACAGAGAAAAAAAGGCAGACAATTTGTTCAGAATCATAACATTTTGCAGGAATTCACACGGTCCTCAGTATCTTAGATCCACAAAAATTATCAGAGGGGTGGGATACGTCTCCTATGAAGTAAGGCTGAGAGAGCCGGGGTTGTTTAGCCTGGAGAAGAGAAGGTGCTGGGGAGACCTTCTTCAGGCCTTTCAAGACTTAAAAGTGTCTTAGAAGAAAGACAGAGAGAGACTTTTTACAAGGTCCTGTAGTGACAGGACAAGGTGTAACAGTTTTAAGCTAAAAGAAGGCAGATTCAGACTAGATAAAAGGAAGAAATGTTTTATGCTGAGGCTGGAGAAACACTGGCACAGGTTGCCCGGAGAGGTGGGAGATGCCCTATCCCCGGAAAAACTCGGGGTCAGGCTGGATGAGGCCCTGAGCAACCTGCTCTAGCGGAAGGTGTCCCTGCTCACTGCAGGGGGCTGGACTAAATGACCTTCAAAAGACCCTTCCAACCCAAACCCTTCCAAGATTTTATGATCTTATCGCTTAACCCAAAGCAAGCAGCTCCCAGAGCCCAGATGGGTGAAGATGCTCTTTACGGACCTTCACATTACTGGCACCTCCAGAGCAGCCACGGCAAAAGGCCTCCTTGCTAGCTCCAAACACCTTTCCCCTCAGCACCCAAACATGCCAAAAAACCCTTGCACGCTTGCACTATCAGTCCACGCTTGGCTTGGCTGCTCCCTACAGCCGGCCGGGGAAGCCCAGCGCCTGCCTCCGATACATACATGCACATAATTAAATTGTCCCTGACTGGCGTAGGAAAGAATGAATTGAAAACAAAGGCTGTATCTCAGCTTTCCAGGTGGTACGAGAGCGGCTGAGTCACTCACCTGCCAGCCCGGGCGTGTTGGAGAGTGAGCGAGTGGAATTTGATAGCGCGGCACCGCGCTCTCCCCACGCGCGAGCTGTCACTCGGGCTGCCGGCGTCGGCGAAGCCCCATCTGTTCCCTCTGCAAACAAAAGCAGTCGGCACAGGCGCGATGCTGGTCCGGGCAACACATGCCTGTCTATCAGAGGCACTGAGCAAGCTTCGTACAACTCACCGGCAAGCGCATTCAAGCTTGCCACAAGCTCACTTCAGCTTGCCACAAGCGCGTCAAGTGTCAACCGGGCAGTTGAGCCACTGCTGAGGGGCTTTTTTGCATGACTTTTTTGGCTTCCCCCTTGTCACAGAGCTGCCTCACTGTAGAAGCATCTTTCCAACTAGTTTTCGGCGCTAAAATAACCGTACATCAACTTCAGGTCGTTCCAAAGATGCCACAGAGCATCTTTTGGCAATGACGTGGGTTAAGAAGCCAGCGCGCTTGAGCAAGGTTGACCTCCCAGCTGACGCAGGGAGACAGACCCAAATTAAAGTCTGACCATTAGGTTAGGGATAGAGCATCCCTCAGCCCTCTGCAATTATGTTTAATGCTCCTTAAAGCAAGCTCAGCAGGATGGGCTGTACCAGGAACCGGCTCCCCAGGGCAGCAGACAATCTCGCTAAATATTTAATACCCGGGCATAAAAGTGGACTCTCGGGGACAAACACACTCCTGTGCTTGTGTGCCATCCTTTTAGTTAAACCAGCCTGACAACCACATCTTGGCCAGAAAGGAACAATCACTAAAGAAATAAATAGATAAGTAAATAAATAAAAGTTGCAACAACCTCACGTCACTGGTTTTTAATTTATATAGAGCAAAAATACATCCAGGGCTTAATGTTTGGGGTTTTTTCTTGCCCAGCTTTTATCTTCTGGCAAGGAGTCATGTTATTATATGTGGACAGGCGATGCGCATCTCCCGTTACAGGCTCTTGCTGTGAATTAACTCACAGCCTCGAGGCAGTTTAACCGTCCGAGAGCCGGTCCCATCCATGGCAAAATCCAGGTGAGATGCAGCCATCCAGCGTGCCGACCAGGTCTGGCGAAGTGTCAGACAGGCAGCTGGCAAAGAAACATTTTTTCCCGCTGCCTAATTCCTCACCCCACATGCAAATCCTCTCCGAACTATTAGGAAACCACCTAAATATTTCCCCAGGAGGAGATAGCCCAGCGGCTGCGTAACGCTGTCGGTTAAGAAGCTCTCTAATTACATATTTCCTCGTCGATTGGGATTTATGGAGAAAACTCCATAAAACTCCACTGGCTCTGGTGTGATGGTATTTTTAGAAGCTTTTGCACTGTGCAAAAAGAAGTTTAAATACAAGCAAGGCTCTGGGAGCATCAAAGCAGCAAGGGAGGAGATTGGAGGGAGCGGGTTTGATGTCTCAGGCCTTTAAGGAGGCCCAAGGAGCCCAAGATTCGATTTTCAGAGTGGCTACCGACTTGTGATGCCCAGTTAGAGCCGCTACCAAGAGATTCGCATTAATAAATGCAAAGCATCTGATATTCTGCAGACAGTGGAGATTCAGGGTGTATCTGTATTATCAAAGTAACCCACGGGGTGTGAAACCGGGACTGAACAAAAGACATCGAAAACTGGATAAGGATTAAATGTAAAAATCAGGAGCTGAAATTTGCTGCAGTCCGGACTAAATTAAACAAAAAGCCAAAATGATGCCCTCAGGGTTTGATGCTGATCTCTGGGAGTCTCGTTTGGTCCAGACACAACTCATGTTGTCCCTGCCCATGGCAGAGGGGTTGGAATTAAATGATCTTTAAGGGCCCTTCCAACCCAAACCACTCTATGCATCTATGATTTTGGGTTTGCAGGACAGATGCCAGTCCCAAATCCATCCTGTTTTTCTCCCCAGTTGCTCACCTAATGGGGAGGGCATCAGAATCGGGAGAGCAACTCGCACATCCCGCATTATGCATTCCTCTACACTGGAAAAAGTCCCTGGCCGCAGAGATTTAAATAAGTGGGATGGCAAGTTCCTCCCCTGTGCACACTCAAAGGCAGCGGGAACAACAGGGGGAGGAAAAAAAAAAGATGGAAAAAATAAAAGCTGCCGGGGAGAGCATCAAGAACTGCACATTAAGGGCTTTTAAACTGATTACACACAGTACGGCGGCGTCAGGCTTGATATTTTATACCCTGCATAAGGGACAGGTGTTTTTCTCTCTCTGCTTTGTTTTTTTTCTTCCCTCCTTCTTAATGATTTAGTCGGTTTGAAGCGCATCATTTGTAAGGAAATGCGCAGCCCGTGCAGACGGGGTTGTTTCTCTTAATGCATCATCCCAGCCTGACACTGGCTGCTCCGGCGGCTCTCGGTGTTATCAAGCGCGAGCGTCGAGAAGTGATTGTTGTACCTAACCCAGCCGTGAGACTCGACGCGTCTCTCTGGAGGGAGCGGGAGCTGTCATGTTCATTAAATGCATGATTACAGCTATGATTAATAGCGGGGGCTACAGCCTACCTCCCTTTCTTTTTTTTCCCCTGCTCCTCTGAAGGAATCCACAGCTGAGCGATCCCATGGTGTTTTCCACGGCGTTTGCCTCTGCTTAGCCCGTCCCGCTCAAAATTTCAGCTTGTGATGGAAAAGGGCAAAGAGCCACAATTTAACCCTGCTGAAGGGTCCACAACCCCAACATGTGTTTAAAACTAGCGGGTCAGATTCTGCACCTCGTCACCAGCACCCCTACGTTAATTAGGACCCTTTTCTTCCACAACCCCAAAACATATCTCATGGCTTGAGGGGTCCCTTGCCTGCAACCTGATCCTTCTCTGGTGAAGGGCTGGCAGATTTGCCTTGGCAGCCCAGGAACCGTACTCAGGAGCAACACACAGTACTTCCCAGGATCCTAGCACCGGGAGCAGGATGCTTCCATCCAGCTCTAACATCCCTGCTCACTTCCCCCCTGCCGCGTCCAAGGGCTTGCAATGCCACACATGCACACCAAAAAGGATGCTTGAAATTTTCCTTTGCCTTAAAAATCAGCTGCAAATATTGCATGGAGGGAGCGCAGTTAATTATTACCCGCTTAATTATTTAGGAAGGATTTTATTGCTCCTAAGGCACAGCCCAAAGACCAGAATCTCCTCATGTAGAAAGGGCTGTTTGTGCATTTGATCCAGTAATTTTTTGTATGGTGGAAAGGCTGCAGAAAACTGAAATAGCCTAAAACAAAGGGAGAAGTTGCAGAGGTGTGCTGGGACCAAGGGATGTGCAAGAGGGTGAAAGCATCATTAGGGTGATGGCCTGTGCCCACCATGCCTGTCACCCTCTTTAGGGACAGAGGAAACTGCCGAGCCCACTGCTGCCCGTCTGCTTCAACTGCCCCAAATCAAGGATGATTTATGGACACGCAACACAGAGAGAGGAAACAACCAGGGCTTTGCCCAGGGAACCGCGGCAGGTAATCGGCTCCACCACCCGATGCTCTGACTCGGGGATGACCGCAACGGGGTCATCCCAGCTTCCCGTTATTTTTCACTCATCAGAAGGGGTTTTGCCATTAGCCACACTCGCTTCTGCTCATCCTGTTTCATGCATGACCTTGGCACCCAGGAAAAAGCTTCCTTGAACCACGCTGGCTCCTTTAATAAGTCCCATTATAAGCCCGCTTTGCCCGCCGCGGCGCAGGCAGCCTACTTCGGAAACAGCCAAGCGATTCATTTTGCAAGGCTCCCCTTCACTTTATTGCTGAACAAAAAGTTTTGAGGCTGGCACTTGGGGAAATTTATTTCTTTAATTATTATTCATTTAAGTGGGCTCCACTGTTTCAGATGATCAGCACTAGCAGCTGCTGGGGGTAATTTATTTTCCTCACCGGACAGCAGAAGCCCTCACTCTCCAGAAGGTAACAGCAAAACAAGGGATGAGCTGCTGCTACACCAGCAAAGCTTCTTGCACTCTCCTGCCTCTGCCCCAGCTCCGAGCAGGAACAAGTATGTCCCTGGGTCAGGCAGTCACGAGTTTTTACTAGTGAAGCAACATCAATTAATGAAGCGTGTTCCGAGTTTGATGTTGTTGTACAAGCAGATGCTTGGAAGGAGGCTGGAGCAGGCTCTGTGGAGC